CACTTAGCACTGTCAGCGTGTATGAGGGGCAGCTGCCGTCCCCAATCACCCCTCAGGGCTTCTCCACCTGACCAGGTCAGCGGGGGTGCAGTTTGGGGTGAGCAAATTCTTTGCTCCCGCACTGCCAGCGCCCTGTGCGGTCCCGATCACTTAGCACCGTCAGCGTGTATGAGGGGCAGCTGCCGTCCCCGATCACCCCTCAGGGCTTCTCCACATGACCAGGTCAGCGGGGGTGCAGTTTGGGGTGACCTGGCGGGCATGGGGGACAGTAAGGGGTGACCAGGCCAGCGGGGGGGGCCAGTTGGGGGCAACTAGGCCAGCAGGGGGGACATTTTGGGGTGACCAGGCCAGCAGGAGAGGGCAGTCAGGGGCAATCAGGCAGGCAGGCAAGCAGGTGAGCAGTTAGGAGCCAGTGGTCCCGGATTGGAGAGGGTGCAGGCTGGACTGAGGGGACCCCCTCCCCCCATCCCACCCCCCATGCATGAATTTCGTGCACTGGGCCTCTAGTATATACATAATAGGGAAACATACTTAGAGGGCATATAAAGATGTTAAATGTATCTTTATTTGTATTAAAAATACAAATACAAAAACTTTTAATTTTTTCTGTGAAAAAATAGAAAAAACATCTGTCAGTAAGGGAGTGGAGAAATAAAATATGGGATACTAATTAGGAGTTCAAAAAATATATTAGAATTATGTATCAGCAAAAATAGCTGTCATAAAACAATATGAGGGAAAAGTGAGGTGTAGAATGATGTACATGGTCCATTATTATTTATATGAGTATTTGTATTTTAAAAGTATAAAAAGTGATATACAGTGGGGCCTTGACTTACAAGTGTCCCGACTAATGAGTTTTTTGAGACACCAGCTGTCCCTTGGCCAATTTTTTGCATTGAGTTGACAGAGTAATTTGAGTTAACGGGCTCCTTAACGAGCTCGGTCTCAGAACGAATTAAACTCGTAAGTCAAGGCCCCACTGTACACAGATGTTCACCACATACATAGAGCTAGTGGCCTGTGGGAGAGGCTGTGGCAGGTGCAGGTGGTTGTCTATCCATAGCTATGCTTGGCTTCCTTTTTACCAGCAGAGCTCCATTTTGTTAATTATTCTTTCTCTTCACTTGCTATATGGAAGGTGCGCCCCAGCTCCAGCCCCGGGAATAAACCATGACTGGCTGTTTAACCAATCGTGGTCATCCCATTCCACCTGCCAGTGATTGGTTTAGGCAAAAATTTTCACAGTTCTGGCCAGTTCTGTGTGTTTCAGGGAATGGTTTTATGCACTGAAACAGACATGGCTGGCTGGGGTGCTAGTAAGGAATAGTCTATTTCTTGAGCTGAGATTCTGTCTGTTTCATGGGAGTGTTAGTTCTGTGCACATTCAGTGGGTTTGCACTTATCTCTGTTGTACTTTAATAAAGAGTTTATACATGTAACACACAGGAGATTCTGTCATCTAATAGTGTGGCAACCATTTTATGACCATGAATGGGCCTAAAACAATTTTCTAAGGATGGCAAGGTAGAAAGATGGAAAAACCTGGTCCTGGATAAGCTCTTAAGCTAGCCAGTTATGGAACTAATTTGTCTCCATTTTTCTTATTATTTAAATCAGTTGATTTGGGTTTTCTGTCACTTGAGGTTGAAAGCATGGCAAAGATAGGGAGGTAGTGTTGGGATGGGGAACAAAGGAGGCTCACTTATCTGTAATGTTCTATTTATTTGAACTAAGTATGTAAAATAATATCAATTATTGATAGTGGGTATAGAGTTATTTGTTCATTTTTTTAATTTAAAAATACCTTTAAAAATAAAAATAGGAAAATGAGTGTCTGATGAGTTGTATAAATATCATGAACAAAGATGTGGGAATGATTATTTTAAGTTGAGGGGCAACTGGGAAATATTTTTCAACAAATGAATCAAGAATCAATTTGTATTCATTTAATAAACACTGGGATTTTACTGTGTGTAAGCTGTTGTTCATTTGGAGCCTATATTTGAAATCATTGTGTTTTCTATTTGTAAAGAACATCTTAATAAATTGGTACCTATCTTCTGTGTTCTGTAGTATAACTTCCTATATGCCTGCGTTAAAGTCTGCATTTTAAATTAGATTACCTCTTTTTTTAATATATATATTTTAATTTCTTTATTGATTAAGGTATTACATATGTGTCCTTATCCCTCCCCCCCTTTTTAATAGATTTTTTATTTATTTCAGACAGAGAAAGGTAGAGAGAGGGAGAGAGGGATAGAAACATCAATGATGAGAGAGAATCATTGATTACCTCCAACATTATATACAAATTTGGTGAAAAACTTTTATAACCGTTTTTACATGATTCAAAAACATGTTTGTCCCCATCATTTAGCTAAGTAAAATTAATAAAACAAATTATTCTTGCCTCTAGTGGAAGAGTGAGCAGAATTCTGACTCCTAAATTTTTCTGTTTCTTTCTTGGGATAGTAATCATACTCAGCCCTCAAATTGTGACATATGTGAGATATTATAAATTTTAGATAGCCTGTGGTTAAAAATTTGGACTTTGGTGTAAGATCCGAGTTAGCTGTCTTCCTTCTCACCCTAACCTTGTGCAAGTCATTTCTAAGCTTCAGTTTGGAGAAATAGTATCAGTTTGGAGTTTGTCTGTGGAAACCTCAAATTAACAATGACTTAAACTTATAAAATTTTATTATCACACATAAAATTCCAAGGATCAGTAATTCAACCACAGTTCCATAAACGCTTCAGAAAACCCAGGCCCCTTCAAGCTCTCTGCTCTGCCATCTCTAGGGTGTGGCCCTCATCTAAAGAGGGAGAGGCAGTGATTATTCAACCAGCAGGAAAATGGCAC